AATAAAACCAAAAGAATAAGATGAACATTTAAATAGGTATTTCTCTAATCTTGGTACGGAAAAGGCCTTTCCGAGCATGGCAACAAAAGCAGATATCATAAAAGAAATACTAAAAAAAATTAAAATGGAAAATCAGTGGCATAAAAATGAAAACTGCTGCACATCAAAAAGAAATGCATCACATTAATATCCTTAATATGCAAAAACCACTTACAAGGAAGATAAGACACATACTAACACCCCAATGGAAGAGTAGGCGGAGACGGGGACAGGCGATTTGTAAAATGATGGACACCTGGCCAGTAAGTGATGACAGGTGCTCCACCTTACCTATAATCAAAGAGATGCAAATGATCAGGACAAATGAGATTTCATTTTTCAGTCATTTTAATCAATGGAACAGATTTGAAACTCACCAACGTGCAACGTTAGCAAAGTGGAGGGAATGGGCCGGCTCACGCACTGTTGCTGAAGTGTGCATTAGTCTAACCTTTCTAAAGACACTTTGGAATTTTATATCAAAACGTAAAATCTATATACTCTTTGACCCAGCAATTGCACTTCCAAGAATTTATTCTAAGAAGATAATTAGATGAGGGCTTAAGTTGTATGTACAAGGATGTTCTTTGCTTAAATGTCCACAGAAGATGACTGGTTACATAATTGTGGTACATTCAAACCACAGCGCCTTCCTCACTGCTGTGCATTGGAAAGGACAAACCAGGGATACTTTTATTAACACAGGGAAATGTCAGCCTCATTAACCAGATTACAGAATGGTACATATAACATAATCTGCGCCTGTGTGCGTGTGCATACCTGTGCGTAAGCGTGCGTACGTGTGCAGACGGATGTCTAAACGTACACTCACTGGAATGGCAGGGGTGAGGTCAGATCTGGCCAGGCAGCCCTATGTGGGCAGAGCAGAACAGGGGCAGACCTGGGAGTCAGGAGGAGGAGGTTCATGGGGTGAGGGCTCCTGGAGCCTCTTTTCAGACTCAGTACTGAATGTGGGGTTGTCAGATCTAGCTACTAACAATACAAGATGCTCCATTCATTTGAATTTCAGATGAATGGATGATTTTATTTCCGGTATAAGTATGTCCCATGAAATATGTGGGATATACTAAAAATTATTCCTATTTTAAAAGTTTGAATAATTTAAAATTCAGATTAACAGGGCGCCCTGTATTTTGTCTGGTGACCCTAGCTGAGAAGCTCTGGAACGCATCTCGTGTTCCCCCATGGGGTGACACGCGCCAGCCTGGAGGGAAGCTGAAGCCAAGGCAGATTTCTGTGCCCTCCCCTGGCTCTGCCGTACCCAAGGAGTTTTGAGGGAGGACAGTACAGGACAGGAGTATAGTCTTCAGTGCCAGAAAAGCCACGTTCAAACTCCTGGCCAGCAAGTAGACTTAAGCTGCATCACACGTCCCCGAGGCCCAGTTTGTACCTCTGTAAGATGGATAGCAACACCCTCCCACAGGGTGGTGGTGGGGGGATTAAATGACATAATGTATGTAGAGTGCCTGGCATACAGTCAGTGCTTAATACGAGTTGATCCTCTTCCCTCCTGTCCAGCCACTGCAGCCCATCCTTTTGCCCCCAAGGATTACAAACCCAGCATCTTCTGTCTTCTCAGGGTTTGACTATTGGCCTTTTGAATCTTTGCCTTGAAGCGGCAGCAGCCGTGAGCTGACACTCTTCACCTGACTTCACCTTTCTCCAAAATCCCTACCAGCGGTTCGGCTCCTTATCTGTGCTGTTCACATTCCGGGCGAGGGTGGAGGAGGATCAAACTCGCTTTGATAGCAGACATTCAGGGATGTCAGCCAAGGGGAGCCACAAGAGCAGGGCTCTGATACAGCAACGTCGTGAATAGAGAATTTAAGGAAGCCATCCTCACTGGCGGCAGCGCAGGCGGGCAGGCGGGCCTCTCCTCTGGAGCCTGTCTGTCTGTCTGCCTGGCTGCCTTGCTGCCTGCCTGCTCGCTTGCTGTCCAGCACAAATGTCTAAGGTGGGCTCTGCAATGGAGAGAGGGGGCCGATCTCCTTCCCTGAGAACCAAATCTTCATAAAGTCCTGTACTGGATCTAACCTACTATCCCCCGTGAGGCCAGAGAGTCTAAAAATCTGCCCAGGCTCACCCAGTTAATCAGGTTTAGGTCCAAGAATTTAGCGTTTGTCAGTAAATCCTGAAACATTCAGCCTCTTGTTGAATAAGCCCAGTGACAGAGACAGGCCAGGGCATCTATCACGTGGGTATAGTCACAGCAGTGGCTCGCCCTACTTGTTCCTGCCTCCTCCCTCCCTTGCCCCGCCACTTTGGGTGTTCCAAAAGTGGGTGCAACTCACATTTTCCAGATGCACAAATTGCCCCATAGTCCAGTCCCCAGCCAAGCCAATGGCACCTGGTGATGGCCGCAGCCTTGGCTTACTGGTACCTGCCTCCCTTGTTAGCACAGACACCTGTGACCCACTTTACCATGCAGCACAAAGACAGCCAGGCACGCATCCTGCGAAGTTTGCAAAAACCCTGCATAGATGACTGCTTGGAAACTCAGCTACGACAACCTGCATATGCAATGGTCCAGCACTGGCTGGGGCCTCAGCTGCAAGGCTTAATTTTCTTAGCATCAGTGACTTAGAGACCTGAAAGCGTTATGTGGCTGAGGTAGGACAGGCCATTCCGTCTGCCCTGCTGAGCATTCTCAGGCCAGGGCTGTCTCACCTGTGCCAGGCAGGTGAGAGGAGGGATCCACTGGCCTGTAATTGATCCCTAATGTTTTGTGACCTCTTTTGAACCACAGGCCCTTTTGTGAATTCTATATCTGTGTGGTCCAATACGGTAGCCACAAGCCACGTGTGGTTACCGAACACTTGACATGAGGCTAGTGTGACTGAGAACCGAATTTTAAATTTTATTTCATTTTAATTAATGTAAATGCAAATAGTCTCATGTGCTAATGGCTACTATATGGGACATCACAACTCTAGGCCAGTGGTCAGGAAACTTTTTCAGTAAAGGGCCAGAGAGTAAATATTTCACAGGCTTTGCATATGGTCTCTGTCACAATCGCTCAGCTCTGCAGCTGTAGTATGTGCAGGCGGCCACAGACAACATGTAAACCAATGGGCGTGGCTGAGTTCCAATCAAAATTTATTTACAAAAGCAAGCTGCTGGCTAGATTTGGCCAGGGGGCCTGAGTTTGCTAACCCCTCCTATATATGCTCCCTGGAAAAAAATACATATATCCTCAGGTTTTTTGTCTCTAACTTTAAAGAGTTTATAGATCTCCGGAAGCCCTGCTATAGACCCTAAATTTCAGGCTAGAACCTCTGTTTTCAAATGGCTCTGTGAATGTACCCACAGATCCTCTCTGCCTGAGGGAGAAGTGCTTGTCTTCCTGGCAGGGAGCTGTGGCCAGGGATCAATGGAGACACTTTTTTCCTCAAACCTCATGGGAGTCTGGGCCTCACACAAAGACCCGCAAGGATTGCTGAATGAGGACACCATGAGTACCTAGGTCCCCCATGCATCAATCCCTCCCAGAATCTCTGTCGGCACCTCTTCTGAGTCATCGACTCAGTCCCCACTCCCCTGCCCTGTCCCCAGATCCAGTCAGTCTCCCCAAGGCCAAAATATTGTGGAAGGAGCTCATGGCCAGAGGGACTTAGGAAGCTTCTGAAGAAGACTGTATTAGTAATGAGCTTGGAGCTCAACCTTGGAGAGAATGAGTTTGGAATTAGGACCAGGGCAAAGGTATAGACCAGATGACCAAACTCACAGACTTGATATTGGGAGGAACTGATTGTTTTTTAAAAAGAAATTGGGCTATCTCAGAGTCCTCACTTTAAAGACAGGCAGGTCTTAGTCAGGAGCCCTCAGTTAAAGTGGAGTTATATCAGAAGCCCTCAGTTAAAGACATGTGGAACTTTCTCCGAAATCTTTAGTTGAAAATAACAGAGTCTTCACAGAAGCCCTCGATTCCTCCGGTTAAAGCACCAGAGTGGCCCCTGTGCCCCTGCCGCCAGGGGTGGTTTTGGCTAAGGAGGTAGGACTTGCCCGCTTTATGTGGTGTACGCCTGGCCAAGACAAAGGCAGTATCTATTTCTACATCACTACAGCTTCATTCAGGAAAGCAACACTTATTCTTTAAGCTTTTAAACAAAGGCAAAGGAAAAAAAGGTTTTCGAATAACTGGCATGCGTTACTAGGGTGTTATGTCATTATTGTTATTAATTATCATTAACAGTCTTAAAATATGCCTATTAATGATCTCAACACAAAATAGCAGTGCAGGTCTTAGCAAAGAGTGGCATAATTACCTATTAATGAGATGTAAATTTCCCAGGGAAATGACAGAGATCACAAGTACCACCTTCTGAACTAACATAATAAAGTTAATAATAATAACAGTGTATAATCTGAAGATATTAGTGTTAATTTGAATTCTAACACCATATTTAAACAGACTGAGAGAAGTGCAAATTATTTGCATAGCTCAAACCAAAAAAAAAAAACCCTAATCCATGCTATTAAGGAAAAATCGATTGTTCTCTGAATGATATAAAACTGACTCTTTGTGGTCATTATATTGAGCTTTCAGCTGCTTGTTTTATTTCTTTTACTTAGGCTTTATATCTCTTTTATTTTCAAAAACAACCTGAGGTACCTTATATAATTAAGCCCAATATAAAACACAATTTAAAAAATAAAAACACAGCAAAACCTAGTTAAAGGGAAGAGAGAAGTAGATGTTACCAGGCCCTCAGGATAAACTATTGCAGCTGAGCTCTGATTTCAATTCTCAGTTTCCTGGGAACACAAGAGGGGCAATTTAAGTAAGTGAGTTACCGGCTAGCAACCAGCCTTGTTAGGACAGGCAGAGCTTTGAGTCTGAAGAACTTTTCCTTCCCCGCAGCTGAGGGAGGCACAGCCCTGCCTATTAGACATCACATCTGCCATCAGGACATCACGTCTCAGGCTCCTATGACACCTACCCTCGTAGCTGGCGTGGAAGCCCTGGGCGCTGACCGCGTAGTCGCTGATGAGACGCAGAGAGAGGGTGGTGGCTGCGCTGACGATGGTGGCCGGCAGCTGAAAGCCCGTGAGCCTGAAAGACAATGAGGCGCCATTAGTTTCCCTTGGGAAACTACACATCCGTTAAGCATTGATTGAGCACCTGCTGGATGCGCAATGCTGATCCAGGCGCAGGGAGGAATACAGACTTGAGCCACATAGAGGGTGTTCAAAAACAAAAATGATTCTCAGCAGAGGTGAGGAAAAGCAGCAGTCTGCCCCAGAAACATGAGGGGGCGACTCCCCTAAAGCCATGGCCTGATCCCCTAGCCGGAGGCCCGTCTCCTTTGTGTCTCCTCTTTTAGTTTCTCCTCTTCTAGTTGTTTCTTCTCCTGTCTGCTGTCTTTCAGGCTGAGGTCCTCTTAGCCTCCCCACGAGTTTACAACTAATAATTGCCAGTAGACAGTATTTATTCACATATTGAGGAAAATATAGCCAACTCTAAGTAGCAGGATGTGTGGCTGCTTCTTATCATAGACTTTATTCTTGTAAAGGAATGTCTACTGCTTTTATAGAAATAAGTGCTTATTAGTTTAAAAAGGAAAGCAAAAAATGAAAACCCAACATGATCTAGAAATAACCATTCTTGACAGCTGACATACAAAGAGATGGAGGGATCAATGGATGGAATCGTAGTCAACAAAATAATTTCATACGAATGGGATCACGCTGTGCATGCTTTTGAAATTAAAATGTTTAAATTTTCTTTCTGGAATTTAAGTGAAGAAAAGGAAACAGGGGTGAAAATAAAGGAATAATTGAGCCTGAGATAATGTTTTTAGCACAAGAGGGTCATTTTTATAGATTCCTTTAAAGTTAAAAGGATACCACTGAACACTTGGGAATACATTTAGGAATTACTTTGTCTGCTGTGGGGAGTCCATGCATGGTGGCCCCCACAGGAGACCTGAGGGTGTGCACAGGTGGGAGTGAGGTGGCCAGTCTCCCATCCACCTCTGTCCTTAACCCCCTCTCTTAGGCTCAGCCTGCCTCCCTCCCCCCATCAGGGATCTGAGAGGGAATTCGAGGCTTACCTCTACTCCCATTTTTCAAGTAGTTTGGAATATCCGTGGTGCTCCTGGATCCCACTCTATACCTTCCATTGCTATCTAATATCTCAAAGCCCAAGATATCCCTGAAGAGCGTGAGTACTGGGCTCAGACAAGTTAAATAAGATATTTGTTAACACCCACTGCGAAAAGCCTTGTGCTAGATGAAGCCCTTGTCCTTGCCACCATCCTAATCTTGGAGGATTCATGTTAACTCAGAATAAACTCAAGAAAAAGAGAAGAAAAAGTGATCAAATTGGAAGTGGGTAACCACATAAGTTTCAAAGGTCATCTTCTTTTCAAGCGTAAAGATATCCAGCCAAAGATCCCTACCTCACTCCATATTCATATTGTCTTTCTCATGGGTCAAAAAATTATATATGAAATAATGAAGCCATGCATATTAGAAAGAAACAAACTTTAAAAAAGAAAAAAAACACCTTATGCTGGGGAAGGCTTTTCTAAGCAAGACATGTAGAGGACTCCTTTTGCTTCTACCTGCCCATCAGTCTTCCAGGGAGCTGTCCACTGCTTGGGGTTCTGACAGGTACCCCACCTGCCCACGAGCCACAGAGCTGGGCAAATGATCATGCATGGCACACTATTTCTCATTTTTATGGACTGGCTCAGCTGTGGGGGAGAAGGAAGAGGGCACACACCCAGACAGGGTCATTCTGAGTCCTTCTATGGAATATGATATATAGACTCTGAAAGTGTTTTATTTTGGGATCTTAAATCATTAGAATAGAAGCTTGGGACTGCCCGCAGCCTTTTTATCAACACATAGAGACTATCTGCTTTAGAGAAAATGATATCACCACACAGACATAAACAAAAGCTGAGCAACAGTAAGAGAAGAGAGGCAGAGAGCCCTGATGATATATTTTTCAGATCCTTAATCCAGCCACGCAGAGAAATCTATCTCTTCAATGCCCAGTTTACATGAGCCGACGTTCTTTCTTTCTTTTTTTTTTTTTTCCTCAAGCTGGCTTGATTTGGGTTTCTATCTCTTGAAATTGATTGAGTACTGATGGATACAACATGTAGCTCTAGATGGCACAAAGAAAAATATTGATGGATGTAACATATAAAAATAAAAGCATGTATGTGTGACAAAAGAAACCATAAAAGGATAATGAGAAAAATGCAAACCGAAAGATTATGTATAATATATGTGACAGGAAGAGGGTTAGTATTTATAACTTGGAAGAGCACTTACGAATCAATAAGAAAACAATAAACAGCTAAGAGGAAAAGAGCAAAAGGTACAAACAAACAAAAACAGAAAGATGATCCACCTAATTAACAGCAAAATACGAAAATTAAGTCCACAAGATTCATTTTTCACCTATCAGATTGGCACATAGCCAGAGTTGGCAAGGGTTAAGGAAAACGGATCCTGCAGTTATCAAAAGGATGATAAGGAAATATAACAAATTACACAATATACATTTGACATATTATTAATAAATGAAATGGCCTTGAAAAGCACAGACTACCATAACTTTCCCCATATGAAATAGATCATTTGAATAGCCCTATAACTAATAAGGAAATTGAATTAGTAGTTTTAAAACTCCCAAAAAAGAAATATCCAGGCCTAGATGTTTTCACTGGAGAATACTACCAAACCTATAAAGAAGAATTAACACCAATTCTACTCTATAATTTCTCCAGGAAACAGAGGAGGAAAGATCACTTCTAAACTCATATGAGATGGCCAGTATTACCGTGATACCAAGCTAGAGACAGTAGAAATTTAAAAAACTAAAGATCAATATTTCACATGAATATAAACACAAAATCCTTAACAAAATATTAGCAAAGAGACTTCAGCAATATATAAAATAATTTCACACCATGACCAAGTGGGGTTTATTCAGAGGACGCAAAGCTGAAAAATCAGTCAATGCGACCCACCATAGTAACAGGTTAAAAACAGAAAAATCACACGACCATATCAACTCATGCAGAAAAAAGACTATATGACAAAATTCAACACCCATTTATGATTTTAAAAAAAACTTCAGAAAACTCAAAATAGAGGGAAACTTTCTCAACTTGATAAAGAACATCTACAAAACAGAACATCCTATAGAACATCCTATAGCTAACATGATACTTAACGGTGAAAGACTGAGTGCTTTTCCCCTAAGGTCAAGAACAACGCAAGGATCCAACAATCCAGTTAGGAAATCAGCAAAAGACATGAAGAAACCTTTCACCAGAGAGGGTATCTGGATGGCAAATAAGCACATGAAAAGGTGTTCAACATCGTTTGCCATTAGGGAAGTGCAAATTAAGACCATGATGAGTGTTACCACATACCCATTAGAACAGCTAAAATAAAAATACTGTAGTGACAATACCAGATGCTGGTGATGGTGCAGAACAACCGGACCTGTCATACATTGCTGGTTGGAAGGTAAAAAGGTACAGTCACTCTGCAAAATAGTTTGTCAGTTTCTTTAAAAAAAGAAAAAAAAGAAACCATACACACTCTAATTATGCAACTCAGCATAATTGCACCCTGTGCATTTGTCCCAGAGAAATGGAAACTCACATCCACACAAAACCCTGTGTGTGATTGTCCACGGCGGCTTTATTTGTAGTATTCCAAACTGGAGACAAGCAAAATGTCCTAGCACAATAAACAAGTGAGTAAACAAACTTTGGCACATCCATACCACGGACTACTCAGCAATAAAAAGGCATGAAACAACTTGGGTGGACCTCAAGGGCATTATGTTGAGTTAA